GATAATAACAGGTAGAGTGGAGTCAGGTCCCAGAAATTCATACCTGAGGTGGCCTGGCAATGGCTTTAGTTCTAGCTTCGGTGGTTCTTCAATGGATGGCTTAGCTGGAGGAGTCTCCCTATTTTCTTCTAAGTGTTGGGGCTCAAACTCTAGATTTATTTCCCAAGACCCTCTACCTTCCAGTGCCAACACCCATTCTGCCAAGTTCTCACTATTCACTTCCTCTATATTCGTCAAACATGCAGCTAGGGGATCCTCAACCGTCAACACTTCATCATCAGACTGTACGATTACATCCACAGCATCAATAAGAGAGCAATTGGCGAACTCACTTGGTCGCCTCATAGATTTCTGCACATTAAATACAATCTCTTCGTCATTGAGCCTCATCTTAAGTTCCCCGGTCTCACAATCAATAAGAGCTCTCCCTGTGGCCAAGAATGGTCTTCCTAAGATGATAGGAATTTCTTCATCCACTTTGCAATCCAATATCACAAAATCTGCAGGGAACACGAATTTCCCCACCTGAATAAGTACATCATCAAGGATCCCAAATGGACGCTTCACAGTCCTGTCAGCCAGCTGCAACAACATAGAGGTGGGTCTAGCTCTCCCAATGCCCAACCTTTTGTTAATGACCAGGGGCATAAGATTAATGTTGGCCCCTAAATCACAAAGTGCTTTCGCAAAAGCAAAGTTTCCAATAGTGCATGGAATAGTAAAACTCCCTGGATCGGAGAGCTTTTCAGCAACAGGCCTAGTTACCACTGGACTGCACGTCTGAGTAAGTGTCACTGTGGCCAAGACTTCGAAGTCAAATTTCCGGGACATTAAATCTTTCATCATTTTTGCGTATCCAGGCATCTCTTTTAAAGCTTCAATCAATGGAATATTAACCTGAATTTGCTTGAGCATCTCAAAGAACTTTTTATACTGCTCCTCCTTTTGATGCTTGGCCAACCTCTGTGGAAATGGAGCAGGAGGTCTTTTCTTCCCAATCTCTTGGGACTTTTCTTTCTCAGCTACTATCTCTACTACCGGCTCTTCAACTGCTTCAGCAACTTTCTCGGTCTCTTGCTGAGTATTCTTTTCTTCCTGAGCAGACTGGATTGTCACATCTATCAGCCTTGTGGAATCATTTAGCTCAATGGGTACCTAAATGAGTGTCGCATCCTGTATATTGTCACGAGCTCTCTCCTGCTCTACATCAAGATCCCTGCCATTACGGAGACTCATCGCCATCAGCTACTTCGGGCCATGATCTTTAGGATTAATTTCGGTATCTGCAGGTAATGTCCCCTGAGGACAATTGTTCAGAGACATTGAAATTTGGCCTAATTTCACTTCAATATTTTTGATTGCTGCGTCATGTGCATCTACTCTTTCATTTATTTTTGCATTGGACCCAATCACCTGCTGCATCATTGCTTCAAGTCTTGTGAACCCATCTTCTTGCCTTCCACCATGTTGTTGCTGAGGTGAGAGATACCCTTGTTGTTGACTGTTGTACCCCTGTGACCTTGGATAAGGTGCCATATTGTTGGGGGGTCTCATANTATTGGTTTCTGTTTAAAGCTCACAATCTCATCAATTTGTCGAGCTGTTTTGTTGGGCGGGTGGAACTTGATGTGAAATTGCTTGACTAGCTCATCCCAAGTTTCTATAGANTCATGTTTCCAGTATTGTACTGTGGCTGAGGTGGTCTGTATGGCTGATGAGTTTGCTGACCCCAGTTCTGATTACCCTGTCTCTGGCCTCCATAGTTTGACACATAGTTCATGTCCTCAGGGTGCTGCTGATGATGATNGTTTGATTGATTCAGGAGTTACGTTGGGTTGCCTTTGAGTTTTGCAAATCGATAGGAAGTTCTTCAAGTGCTGCTGAGGATCTTCGGCTAGTGTCCCANTCACAAGCCCCCATTGGTGGTATCTACAATGTGCACTTGCTATTTCTGCCCCGATTCCTCCATTTTTTTTGTGAGTATGCTCATCTGTGTCAAAAGGGTCGCCACATTTTCAGCCATGGAATTTGATGGGTCAAAAGGCACTGAGTGTACCACTGGAGTGATAGGTGCATTCCTCGTCGTCCACCCCGAATTTTGAGCCATTTTGTCAAGCAGACTCTGACCTTCTCTCCAAGTTTTGCTCAAAAATGCCCCACCAGCTGAGGCATCTACAATGTTCTTCATGCTATCTGACAGTCCCATGTAAAACCGTTGTCCCAACATCTGATCTGGAATACCATGGTGTGGACATATAACCAACATTCCTTTAAACCGGCTCCATGTCTCATGCAGTGTCTCCATTGGTTTCTGTTTAAAGCTCACGATCTCATCAATTTGTTGAGCTGTTTTGTTGGGCGGGTGGAACTTGATGTGAAATTGCTTGACTAGCTCATCCCAAGTTTCTATAGAGTTTATGGGGAGTGAGTTTAGCCAGACCTGAGCAGCTCCTGTCACCGAGAATGGAAATAATAACAGTCTGATTGCTTCCGGAGTTACGTTGGGTTGCCTTTGAGTTTTGCAAATCGATAGGAAGTTCTTCAAGTGCTGCTGAGGATCTTCGGCTAGTGTCCCAGAAAATAATCCCTTATTTTGCAGCAAGTGCAGCATGTTGTTCGTGATCTGGAACGATTCAGCTTGTATTGCGGGCACAACAATGGCAGTGGCCAGATTGTCAGTTGTGGGTTGTGCCCAGTCATATAGTGCAGCCTCAGGCACAGGAAGTGCCCTATCTCTGACGTTTCCGTTGACGTTGTCTACGTCACCCATGTCAATTTCGAGGTTGTGTGTTTGATGAGGTTGTTGAAGTCTTTTGTTGGCACGATTCAATATCCGGAATGTTTTCTCTGGGTCTAAGAGTCCTTCAAGTACTTCTCCAGTCCTCGTAGAGTTTCTAGGCATACACCTGTGCAACCACGTCAACAACCGTCAAAAATTTTCAATCAAATCTTGGTATAGAGAAGACTGACTATACTAAGAATTTGTTGTATTTCTATCAATGGTAATTGATAATTCCGTTAATTCCCCGGCAACGGCGCCAAAATTTGATCACGCTCAACTATGGCTTATAAAAAGGACAATGCAGATGTTGCAAATATAACCTGAGTATTCCGCCCAGGGTCGAATCCACAGAGAATTAACCTATCAATCACAATCTTTAGAACTACTAAACTCTTGAGAACCAACTTCCCCAGACGTTTGAACCACCGTTGATGGTTTCTTTACTAACTAAGATTGCAAGTAAATAACAAGCTATAAACTAAAATGCTAAGGTTGTAAACAATAATGAGAAAATGCTAAGGTAATGACTTCCCCTATTGATAGAATCCCTTCTGTTTATGCTTGATACAAATTGACCAACACACCTCTATCAATCATGAACACTTTTCTTACCGTAAATCTCTCCCGAGTAATCACAGTAATATACTATTGCACTCTCCCGAGATACACTAGCTAGCTTTAATTAACACAATTCACTTAAGATTGCACTCAAGGCTTCGTTATCCCTAATCCCGCCTTTAAACCCGCAGTTATAGATCCCTCTTATACTTTGGGAGGGGTGTTGTTCAACAATAACCTAAATATGCACTCTCTCCCGAGTTATGCACATTAAATAGGCACAGCTAATTGAGGATCCTGTCAATTAACTACAACAAGAACATAGTTGAACAAATAAAGATTGAAACTAGCAATTTGTATTCACATAAACAAGAAGTTCTTCCCCCAATAGGTTCCATCAAAACCTTAGACAAAGGATTTAGCTACTCATAACTATGGGTAAACAAACTAAGATAAGATTCATCATAAACTAGCAATAAAAATCGAAGAAAAGAAGAAAGATGTTTTGGTTGATCTCTCACAATTGTTCTTCTTGCCAAAAATACTCTCCAAAACAATACATGCCTATCTTGGGCGGAGTCTAGTGTTTAAAATAGGGTTTTGGGCTAAAAATCTCGTGTTTTGCACTTTAGTCCCTGAACTTCCTCACGTCTGCCGCGGTTCTGCCGCGGTCGCGGTGGAACCGCGGCAGAATCATTTCTCTGATTCTTCAGCCTGTTTTTGTGTGGTTCACTTGGGATATTTCACGAATGGCCTCTCTTTCTTCAATTTTTGACTCCAAAAGTACTCTCTAGCCTTCCCTAGTCATATATAACCTGCAAGTCATGAAAAGCACTAATAAGAGCATTTTGTTATCACTTTTATTATCAAAACTATGCAAGAAGGCGGTTATTTAGGGCATGAATATAGTTAAATTCACCTATTATCGGCAGGATTAGTAGTTAGAAGGGAATTCGAGATTTAAAGATTGTGAATGCATTTATTTTATAAACTTTTTCTTTAAATACTCTACATACATATATACGGTGTGTGCCAAAGATAATGAGCGAAGGTCATGCACCCACCTACATATAGCGCGTTAATTAAAGATATCGAGTACATGCACCAACTATTTATATGCTCCTCATATTGTAATAGTGGGAAAAATGAGTTCTGAGGGTGTTGTACCCTACATATTATCAAGTTAGGCGGAAAATATAATTCCTCCCTGCATAAAGAGCAACCACGTGATTGAAATATCTCCAGAAACCGTGTGTTGCATAGAGCTGAATCAATTTAGAATTTATGTTTTGAGTTAATTCTTTATACTATCAATTTATTACCTATTAATTGTCAGCTGCTGCGCATAAATTTTTCCATAAATTCAACCGCAACCCCATGACGCACGCCAATTATAAATACAAGTTGGATTCCACGGACCCAGCTACATTACATTCCCTTTGCAAGACCACCTTCCTTGCTGCAAGTGAATATCTCCTAAAAACTGTTTCTGAATCCAGTTTTAAACCTGATCGATCGTTACCATTGAGCTCAAACTTGAATATCTCCATTGAGCTTCATATATATCTGAATCTGATCGTTCCTTCAACAACTTGCTAGTTGTGTGAGTTTGTTTTTTTTCCAAATTATTACATAACACCAAATCAAGTAATCATCAAAAATGCAAGATGCCATAAAGCCTCTTCAAACCAACATCTCTAGTACCCTTTTTAAGAGATGTGGCACCAACAAGAGACCACTCAAAGACAGGGCTGCTGGTGGTGGTGGTGGTGTCACCATGAGGTACCGTGGTGTTCGCCGCCGTCCTTGGGGCCGGTACGCGGCGGAAATCCGCGACCCTCAGTCCAAAGAGAGGAAGTGGTTGGGCACTTTCGACACAGCTGAGGAAGCAGCTTGTGCGTATGATTGTGCTGCTAGAGCCATGCGCGGTGCTAAAGCAAGAACTAACTTTGTTTACCCTCCACCTGCTCATCCTACTACTATAACTACTGATAGTTTCCTAAATATACCTTTGTTGAACTACACTTCTACCAAAGCAGCTAATCGTTATCATCAGCTTTGTCTTAAGGACTTACCAATCAGACAGTTCTTTCAGTCAAGTCCTCAAAAATCAGGTGGGGACGTCGGTAGGAAAACAGCATTAGAGGAAAGCAATGATTCTTTGAACTTGCTTCTCTTTCATGAAATTCTCAACTCCTCCTCCTCGGACTCGTCCCTTTCATCGAACACTGATTTGAACATGAATATTAATATTACCCCTTTCGATGAACAACTTCCTCTCATATTCAATAGAAATAGCACAAATTTTTCAACTTCCAGTGCCACCTTCGCAGGATCTTCTTCATCTTCTTTGGTGAATCAGTCTTGTTTAATTTCTCCCCCAAAAGCTACCAGCTACTCTACTTCTAGCATTGCTCCTATGACTCCTCAAAAAGTCAAAGATGATCAAATAAACAACTCGTGTTCAGTTGATTCGGGCATGGATTTCTTTCCCACGGTGCCTTCCGATTCTGGCTTTTTAGAACAGGCCTTAAATGGTTTCTTTCCAAAGCCGACGCCTATGTCAAGTGATGATTTTTGTGCTAAGCAATCAAACGAGGATGTGAAGAACCATTTAGGTTTCTGTATTGACGAAAGAGGAGCAGCTGGAATCTCTCTTCCCTATTTTAACAATGGTTTTGGATTTTCTCAGCTATCATCGCTGCCAATAGATCAAGATTTTCCAGTAAATATTGATCAGCTGTCCGCAGAAAATTTGTTGGGAGACATGAGTTTTCACTACTCCGACCTTCTAAATATATTAGCAGCTAAGATGAAAAACACTTGAACTTTGCTTTGCATGCACGGTTTTAGATCTTAAATTGTACTACATAGTACTCCCTCCCTTACTATCTGAACCCACTTTACTGTGCACGGAATATATGAAAAAATGAAGACTTTTGGAATTTGTGCTCCTAAACAAGTCAAAAAGAAATCCAGATCTAGTATTTGTGTGGTTATAAAAACTTCTAATAAAGGGTAGAATTGTAAGTTTAAGTTAAATTGTTTTTAAATTTAGAAGTAGTCATTCTTTTTGGAACGTACCAAAAAAAATAGTTTCATATAAACTGAAATGGAGGGAGTAATTCTAAGTATGATTCTTCAATACTGTCAAGAAAATTTGACGTTTCTGCTTTTGTTTTTCTTCCTTTTATCACAAGAACAAGAATATGTATCTTGCTATAGTCTCTGGTTGTTGCAGTTTTCAGGAAACAAGGAATCTTGTTAAATTGTTCGATCAAGTTGTGTGAACTGCAATTAACTGAAATCAAATTGTTTGCTTTTGTTTTCTTACAATCAAATATGATACTGGTGTCGATGTTCTCCCAATAAAAGGTGAAATTTTCGGTTTCCCCGGGCGCTTAGCTTTTTCATTTTTCTTAGCAGATTCTTAAAATTTTATTTTTTTATTTTTTTCACATGAAACCTTTACTTATTTATTTATTTATAACAACACCTGTTTAGTAGGGATTCGAACAAATTTTCCACAATTTTTTATAAATATTTTAATATTTTACTTTTTTTTCTCTAAAACAGGTGAATTAGAGACCAATTATCTCAAAACAATCCAATACAAATTTCTTCAAACCAAAAACTACACCCAAAAAAAAAAAAAAAAAATGACTGTTTTCTTATTC